CCCCCATTCCCCTGGTCTATTTGACTCAGCTCAGCTCCAGTATGTGTAGGAAGATCCCGAAACAGGGCACAGAGGCTGCCTTTCTTCTTTAAATTAAGGCTACATGATAATCTTCAGTTTAAAATGAAAAAAATTCAGTGGATCCCTTTTCTGCTTGGCAATACATTACAGAAATATTTTTGCATGGTGAACATTTTTTCTAAACTTGTTGGGAACGAGAGATGTCCTTTATATGGGCAGTATCTGTATTCCTTCAATTGGTACAGCAAATAAGCTTAGAAAAATAGCTTGGAAGTATTGAGAGTTTCTTCCCACTTTATAGTACATGCCAGTTGTTTGTGTGTGTGTGTGTGTGTGTGTGTGTGTGTTTAAAAAAATGGTTGTTCGTCCATCAATTTCGATGAAGACCTTGACATCTTGTGGATTATGGGCCATCAACGATGTGTCCGTAGGTGGCTGATAAGACCGATGTTAGCATGGAATGTTCTGCCACATACTGAACAAAGAAATGTAGACACTGTTACTTCAGCATTTACGGCTCTGGCTTTGTGGAGTGCTCGCTTCTCTTGTGCCAAGATTGTCCTTCTGTGTTCATATGTCTGGTAACCCTGGTACACCAAGGTGCGCCATGTCAGTCGATCATGCGCCAGAAGTTCCCAAGAGATGGTGTTAATATCCAGGGACTTGAGAGAGGCTTTCAGCGTGTCTTTGTATCGTTTCTTTTGTCCCAATGCAATCGTTTTCCTTGAGACAGCTCACCATAGAAGAACTGTTTAGGGATGCAATGATCTGGCATCCTTACAACATGACCTGCCCAGCACATCTGAGCTTTCATCAGCAGAGTGTAAACTGATGATAGGCCTGCTCTGGAGAGGACATCTGTGTCTGATATCTTATCCTGCCACCGGATCCTCAGAATTCTACGAAGGCAAGTCATGTGGAAGTAATTCAGTTGCCTAACGTGCCTCCTGTACACTGTCCAGGTCTCACTAGCATACATCAGAGTAGTTAGCACTGCTGCCTGGTAAACTTTAAGCTTAGTAGCAAGACTTATTCCACGGCAGTCCCAGAGCTGCAAAGAAATGATTAAGCCTGTGTTTCTTGAGAGATATGGACTTCAACTCCCAGAATTCCATAATCAGCATGGAAGTTGAAATCCATACCTGTTAAAGTTGCTAAGGTTGAGAAACATGAAGTTTTCTCTCAAGAAAATTTCTCTCTTCTGCAATCAATTTTTCAAAAAAAGTTTCTGCTGGTCCCAGAGATCCTGAGGCAATTTAGAAACAGATCCTACCAAAGGTGCAATCCTAATCAGAGTCAATCCATGCCCTGAGCACCCTTTGCTTGCGAGTTTTCCAAAAGGCTATAGAAGGATCACATCTGACTTGTATGTCAGAATCCAATTATACTTCATCTCCAGTTATCAATTATAGAAAACCCCATTTCTGCCCTCTCTGGATTCTGTCATAAAGAAAGAGAGGGGGGTGAACAAAGGGGCTTTATGGCCCTCACTTCCTTTGGTACAACTTCAAAGGGTTTGAATGTGGTTAGCACCAAAAGGCCTTCTCATAACAAAGGAGGCTATTTACCTTTCATGTAGTTTATCTGAAGTCTCCATCCAGACGGAAGAAAGGAAAAAAGGGGTGGGATTGTGATGCCTGAAACTATCACTGGAAGGGGGGGTGATTGGGTGGGACTACTGGGGAACCCCTTAAAACCTCGAATGGGAGAGCTTGAACCCCAAGTCCTGTCTAGAACGCCTGCACCCATTTTCTCTTAATAAAGGATTCCTGTTGGAAGAATTATTCCAAGAGTTCTGTCTTCTTAAGATGCAAAGTGGGGTGGGTCCTTACACTGTACTACTAGGGGTAATCTTTACCCTAAAATAAAGGTCCTGAAATGACCTTTGAGAATCATTTCTCTGATTCAGGCAAATAAAAAGAAATGCACACACAATCACACCCAACTTGATTCATATAGCAGAAAAATCTTGATGTGTCACTGAATACACGCATGCAAGGCAGTTGTTTGGCACCCTCTAATTTTTCAGTTTTAAACAAATTTTAAAACATATGAATTGTGCAAACCAAGAAAATTCTATATAGGTAAGAAAGTACATACCTGTTGTTAAACACTGGAAATTATTTTTGTAAATCAGTTTTGAAATGTCTTTCTATCGTAAGCATGGAAAGAGTGGCATCTGTTTCAATATTATTTAGGTTTAACAATAAGTTGAGTTAGTTCTATAAACATTGTATGGGTTCTTATTTCTTTAGTTTTTATCTATTAGTTATGATTTTTATTGTATTATCACTGCTGTATTTAATAATCTTAGGTGTTATATTTTACCAAATTTAAAAGACATTGTACAAAGGAGCCTCTTGAAAGTATCAGGATTAGTCTCTCTATATTAGTCATTTCTGCCTTTTTATCATAAAGTTATTTTTTATTGCTATATTATCATCTGGTTCCTCCAATCATAAACTAGCATGCCACCTGTGGGAAATTATGCCAAGGTTGTCCTGGTTATTTAAACTGAAAACGAAAGAGTGATGAATGCATGTATCCTGCATGTATCCTGCCTGGTCGATTTGCAGACCTTGCAGAAAGGCCCACAGTCAGCTGCAGGTTTATGAGTGAGACTTTGCCCCTCCTGGTCTCCTTCAAATCTCAAGAGATTTCCTTGGGACATCAGGTGCTGGAAGAAAATGCTTCTGGAGCATGTCTTCACTCTTTCTCGTGGCTTCTGCTTCTGAGCATCTCTCTTTGTCAAGGTAAGGGAACCGTCTTTTAACTTAATTGCAAACCCTTTGGTTCACTGAAAGGAAAGTTGTTATCAGGACTACAGTCCTAAATGAACATATGCAAATGGACACGCCAATGGAATGGCAAACTCTCAAGAAAGGTTTAGGCTGCAGAGGGCCTAAACTTTATTCAGAAGCTTTTCAATTGTTTCCAATGAAAAGAAGGGAATTTGGGGGAAACCATGGTGCACGTGGATTTGATCAGATGGGGAATTTTGAAGGAGCAAACTTTTGAACCTCTCTTCATTAGAAGGTATTCATTCTTCAGGTGGTTTTATGATTTGTGATCTCAACCCCAGGCTGCTAAAAAGAAATGGAAATGTTACAGTCAGTGGAACAACAAAATCAAATTACTTGCAAACCTGCAAAAGGATTTCTCATAAAAACAATCATCCTTAGCCAAGGCGTATCTCTTAAATCCTAAAAATACAGGTCACTATCAAACTAGAGCACAGTAGTTTATTTTTAGCAGCAACTGGTGTATGGAGCACAAGATGATGCAAAATGTAGCTACGTTGCAGGATAGATATTTGGATATATATTTGGATAATAAATAACTCATGCTAAATTTCTTCCTGACAAACTACCCAATGGAAATACAATTTCACAAATTGCTATAGAAAGGATGTAAAAGAACAGAAGTGCCCAGTCTGCATATTTAAAAAGATAATTATATTGTGCAGAAGAGAAGATTCCAGTCTATTAATCCTACTACATTAAATCAGAACAGCGTACAAGTAGTCCTTGACTTACGACCATTGATTTAATGACCGTTCAAAGTTATAAAGGCAATTGCTGTATCCCCATGGTCACATGACCAAAATTCAGATGCTTGATAACTGGTTCATATTTATGACGGTTGCAGTGTCCCGGGGTCATGTCATCTGTTAACCTTCTGTTAAGCCAAGTCAATGGGGAAGCCAGTTTCACTTAATAACCATGTTACTATCTTAAAAACTATACTAGGAAAGGTTAACAAATGTCTCACTTAGCAACAAAAATTTGGGGCACAATTGTGGCTGTAAGTCAAGGGCCACTTGTAAAGGCAAAGTTTAAGCATGTTGATAACAGAAAAGCAGGAAAAAGAGAAAAACCAATGGTATCCTGGCCTATTTTTCCTGGTGTCTCATTATAGGCTAATGAATCAGCCATGATAAGGAAACTTTATGAAGGAAACCAGTTTCAAGGAAGTCAGCAATCACTCAGGATCTTTTGCAGGGCTCCAGCTAAGTGTACCTTGCCACAGGGGTCAGATGTTTTAAACACTGTGGGAGCTGCAGAGAAAAGGGAGTGAAAATTTAATATAAATCTAGCTATTCATTTTGAAAATCTGTCATAAGACCCACTAGACAAACAAGCCTTGGCTATATAACACTATATTTTCAGGAAAGAATTTGTGTCCTGCCCAGTGAACCATGACCCAGAGCATATTTGAGTTTTCCCAGTGTAATATCTCGCAGACTTAGAACCCTAGTCAATATTGTAGTGCAGTGTTTCTCAACTTCAGTGTCATGGTTCCGACAAACAGAGATGAATAAAGCAGAACACCGAGGCTTGCAAATTCCTCATGTTTATTAGTCACAAAGTATTGGCACAGTCAAGAGTGAAACCTTGACTGTCTGGATACACACGTAACAATTCCCCAGTACAAAGTTAAAAATCCCACTCATAAAGCTATGCAAGCAACTACGTTCCCCAATGCAATTATATGGCGGGCTTTTTTCACAATGCCCAGCCTGTAGGCTTGGGAGCAACCGATGACCTTGGTTCCCACAGGACAAAAAATTATTATGACTAGCGAAGCACCTGGGCAACCCCCTCCTCCCTCCGTTCTATGTGACAACAACCTAGAATGAGCAGGAAAATAGCTATATCATGCTCAGTTGCAGCATTGACACTCATCAGCTTAAGATACTTGGACTAAGTCCCAGAATTCCCCAGTCAGCACAGGAGAGAAGATACCTAGAACTAAGGAGAAATTTCTTGACAGTGAAAACAATCAACCAGTGGAACAGCTCACCTTCAGAGGCTGTGAGTGCTCCATCACTGGAGGCTTTCAAGAAGAGACTGGACAGCCATTTGTCTGGAATGGTGGGGTCTCCTGCTTGAGCAAGGGGTTGGACTAGAAGACCTCCAAGGTCCCTTCCAACTCTGTTATTCTATGTTGTACTACTTTTATTCCATCCCTTTTTTCAGATCCTGAGTCCTGGAGGGACTTTCAGCGCTTTGATGTGTTCCTGTCAGCGAATACAGTTCTCTGTCCTTTGTCTCCATTTCCTTTCGCTGGTTCTTCTGGTAGACGGAGCTACCAGACTCTACTATTTGGGGATCCATAATGTAGAGTGGAACTACATTCCATTGGGAAAGAATGTGATCACCGGACAGAGCATTATGAATGACTCGTGAGTCTCACTTTTTCCATTCCCACAACCTGGGCACATCAAATCACTTCCGAGTTGCATACACAAAACTGAAATGTATTGCATGTATCACAACTTGTGAGGTGCAGTGGCAAACGTCTTTTATCTTTAAAAAATGGGAGAATTTCCACACTACAATATTTATAATGTAAAAAATGTTCATTGATTATCAGAGGGAAATGTTCAAAAGTTTTCATCATAGATCAGGGAGTTTCCCTTCCCTAAAACTATCTGCAGGGTAATTAGTCACCTTTTCAGAGGGCAGATTCAACCACAAACCTAGGGAAATTAATAAAATTAAAACTGCTTGAAATTTTATAGGATTTCTAATTTTCACAAATTTTCAGCCATTTTACCTCCAGGATTTCAGGCAATATTACTAATATTTTTAATTTCATGAGTTTTTGGATATTTTTAATGCACGCTTTAAATTAATGATTTAATTTTGGGAAGTCTAAATGGTATTGTAAGGATCCACCTCACTTTACATCTTAAGAAGACAGAACTCTTGGAATATCTCTTCCAACAGGCATCTTTATTAAGAGAAAATGATTGCAGGCATGCCAGACAGGATCTGGGGAATTCTCTCCCATCCTTCAATGTTTTAAGTGTTCCCAAGCAGCCCCCACCCCATAGTTCTTCTGGGTAATGATCACTCATCTTCTCTTTTCCCAGATCCCAGGCGTTGCCTTGTTCACCCCCTTTTCCCTCACTGCTAGCAAAAGGGGGACTTCAGAGAGAGAGTAGATGAAAGGCGATGGCCGTATTGTTATGGTCAGTCCTCTTGATGAGAATCAACATCCAGTCACTTTGTAGTTTAATGAAGGAAGTGAGAGTCATAAAACCTCCTTGCTTATCCTCCTCCCCTTTCATAGTATGACAGAATCCAGAGAAAATAAGAAATGGATTTTTTTTCAGAGTAGGTAGCTAGAAATGAAAAATAATTGGATTCTGACAGGTATTTTAGAAGTCTCACAGGCATATCTGTCCACAAGTGGCTAATTTTTTTTAGTCTACCACTGTAACATTTTGATTACTTAGTTTTATATATATGATTTGGAGCCAGATTTGCTGTGACACCATTGAATTTATGATGAAGATGTTTCGGCTTAGATTCTTTCTCTGGTGACATTTTCTTGACTGTTGCCCTCAGGTCAAAGTAGCTGCCTTGTGTGGCTAAAAAGGGAAAGGGGAGAAAAGTAAAAGAAAATAGAAAAGAACAAAAAGGAAAAGATACAAAAGAACTGGCGACTGATTTTCCTTACAGCAGTTATAAATACAGTTATAAATTTACCTCTTGTTTTATGATGACAGCATAGCTCTATCATCTATTATGCCTAATCATCAAAACCATAAGTTGTAAGTTGAATTTTTCTGTTTCACACAAAATGTCTAAAGGGTTTCCACTCAGCAATAAAAACAGATACTGTATTTTCTCTGATCAAAGAAGTCAGTTTGGCCATCTCAGCAAGTGCCATCATCATCACTGTCCATCCCTCCATTGTGGGCAGTGCTGAATTTTTTCCATCTTTGCACATACAGTAATCTCACTGTGTAAAAACAAACTTCCATGACTGTTTGTCCATCAATCTAGAAAGAAAAACTTGTGGTCTCAATTGAATTTAGCCTTTAAAATCTCTGGGGCTGGACTTATATTCAAATTATTCAGCCCCAAATGCTCAATAGTTACCATGGTTTGAAATCTTTCTGGTTATAGGGAGATTCCTGATTCATCTACAGATAGAAACTCGAAGTCCACTTAGAACTCCAGCTGGAGAGGTTGATAAAATGCCTAATTTTATCTGTGCAGCAGTAGAACAATCTTTCCACTTGTATTTTCAACTGTCGGAGCTGGAAGTGACTAAGGAGAGACCAGAACTGTGTGATTTGTCACTTGTGGACCACGTGCAGTTGTCTGGGATCCATCATGCTGCTGGTGAACTGTAAATTTTCGTATGACACCAGGGAATAATGATTACATAAACAGAGAGCAAACATTTAAATTGTATTTAATTCCCTTGCCTATGGAGATTCTCAGTCATCCAGGTCATGGTTATCCCAAAGGTGCTTTTTCAAGAGGCAACTGGACTTCCTTGTTTTTCTTTGAAGACGTTTCGCTTCTCATCCAAGAAGCTTTTGCAGTTCAGCTTCTGAGTCAGAGCTGAAGAAGCTTCTTGGATGAGAAGAAAAACAAGAAAGTCCAGTTGCCTCTTTAAAAAGTACATTTGGGAAAATTTAATTCCTTTATTTTAAACTAATTGATCATGTCCAAGTCATGGTTAGTTTTTGTTACAATCCTACCAGCCCACATCTTACCCCAGCCCACCTGCCCTCTAGAACAGTGGTTCTCAACCTTTTTAATGCCACAACACCCAACCGGTCGTAAGTCGAGGACTACTCAACCGGTCGTAAGTTGAGGACTACTCAACTGGTGCAGCACCGTTTGCAGAATGGGACTTTTGGCGGGTTCAGCAGGGCAGAGACAGCCTGGACAATTCCTATTGGCTTTTGAAAGCCAATAGAATTAGACTATATTCAAGAGAGTCTATTCTATTGGCTTTCAAAAGCCAATAGAATAAAAGGGAGTAGCACAGCTAAGGAAAAGGGGGAAAAAATGGCGGACTGCATTGTTTGGCGACCCCTGTGAAATGGTCATTCGACCCCAAATGGGGTCCCGACCCACAGGTTGAGAACCACTGCTCTAGAATGTTGCTGGGGCTCTTAGCACTTAATTCAAAGATTGTGGTGAGCCTTGGCTTGAAAAATGTTTTCTAATTGTGTGCTGGAACAACTGTCAGTCAAATTAAGCCACTAGCCATATGATATGCCCTACTAAGTGCCTGATAAGCCCGATTGATGTTCCTTCAATTACAGCAGTGGTTCTCAACCTGTGGGTCGGGACCCCATTTGGGGTCGAACGACCATTTCACGGGGGTCGCCAAACAATGCAGTCCGCCATTTTTTCCCCCTTTTTCCTTAGCTGTGCTACTTCCTTTTATTCTATTGGCTTTTGAAAGCCAATCGAAGAGACTCTCTTGAATAGAGTCTAATTCTATTGGCTTTCCAAAGCCAAGAGGAATTGTCCAGGCTGTCTCTGCCCTGCTGAGCCCGCCAAAACTCCCATTCTGCAAACGGTGCTGCACCAGTGGAGTAGTCCTCGACTTACGGCCGGTTGAGTAGTCCTCAACTTACGACCGGTTGGGGGTCGTGGCATTAAAAAGGTTGAGAACCACTGAATTACAGGTGGAGGCTTGTCATGATTCCTGTGTTTTTGTTACTTATGGCCTATATTGCTCTTGGATGCTGAGTTGAGATGGTCTTTTTGATCATACCGATGAGATTCATTCCCTTGAAGTTCTCAAAGTGGGCACAAGATCTGCCTACCTACCCACTTCATCCTTCCTCTAGAAACAGGATGTGATCATTATCGATTGATCCTCTCCTTGATGAATCTATCTGAACCCCCTTCAGTTCACTCCAAACTTCAACTTCAAGCACCTTTATACTGGCATGTAGCAACAAATTATGTAAACCTGTTATACTTTGAATGAAGAAATACTTCTCTTGTCTCTCCTACCAGCCCATTTGCTTGGATGATTGAGTGTTAGACTTCTAGCCAAAGGGCAACAATGATTCTCAAGGGACAATATTGGAAAGCATTTTCACTTGCTCCTTGTTTCAGGGTCTTGAGGCATCTTCTGGCTGTCTGCACCTTTACGGGGTCCTTATATGAGGCAAAGTTGCGTGCAGAGCCCCGGAAAGTCATCCAGCAGCGGACTGGCCTGGGTGAGAAGGGGGGCAGCCCATTGGGCTGCAGCTCCTGACAGAAGACTGAGCATGAACCCCACCTTTGTCCAGTCAATGGGGAAGTCCTCTGCCCACAGACTCATATAAAGTTGGCATTGTCCAAAAAACCCAGGAACTGAGCCTGTGTCTCATTGAATTTATCCAGCCAGCAATGAGGCATTTGCTCCAGGAGTGTGGAGCAGTGGCAACCTGAAGCTGAGCCAGCTATATTCAGAGCATGGCTACTTGTTATGTCAGCTGTGCATTCTCTGCCCGGAGTTGCTCCATGTTGTAAGTTTGGGTGGCAGACAAACTATTCTGACCTGGCTCCCCGAACACAACAGATGTACCAATAAATCTCCAACATTCCTTTTATTCAGGAACACCAGCAATTTCACGCAGCTGGCTGTTAAAGTCTTTAGTTGCCTCCAACAACAGCTCGCTTCCTTTTCCCCTGCAGGGGTCTCCCAAAACCCAGAGTTAATCTCAGTCTCTCACCACACTTGCAGCAAGAGTCCTTCAGGCAAGCTGGCTCTTTTCAAACATAAGATACATGCACATGCTCAGAAGGAACTCCGACTCCCAGCATCACAGGGTCCAAGGAAAAACCCCCGGTAATTTTCCAAACGAGTCAGGAGTTCCAACTAGAAGTGGGTGACTGGCAGGGAGACGAATAGTTGTCTGCCACACCTATTTGTCTCTGCCCCTGCCTTTTATCCGCAGCTGAGGGTTGGGCTCTGTTAGCAGTGGTGACTCTTCCGCCCCAAAGATCAGCCTATAGCCTCTTGCTGTTCTCCTCTCCTCAGTCTCCGCTGCACCCATGCATCAATTACTGGCCCCATGTGAGCCTCCTCTCCTGAATCACTTGCCTCAAGGCATGGAGGTCTCAGCCTTTCCATCTGGGGGGCTGGCAGACAGCCCAGGCTCCGCCTCTGTCCCTGGGTGCAACAGCATTCCTTCGTCCCCATCGGAGCTTTTAGCTGGCCCTGATGCTGGGCCCAATGCCCAGTCCTGTGCTTCCTCCTCTGAGTCAGCTGCGGAGTTTTCCAGTGGCTGACAGGCCACAACAAGGGGCTACTACTCGGGGTCTAGCCGGCTCTATGAAACCCGACTCCAGATTCTTTTTGATGAACTTTCCCAGTTCGTCTAATTCCCTGGGAGTCAAGAGTACATTTTTGGCTTTGGTAGTTTCGCCCCTGGGATGATTTCAATAGCACAGTCTGTGGGTTGATGAGGGGGGAGTTCGTCTACCTTCTGGTCACTGAAGCCTTCAGCCAAATCTCAATATTCCATTGGGAGGGCTTTAAAGTCTGACTCACTGGGAACGGAAGCAAAATCTTCCGCAATCCACATCTCCCACCGTTTTCTTTAGAAACAGGCAGGAATTGTAACTGTCCTTCCCTCCAGTTCATCATGGGGTTCCATTTCTTTAACCAAGCCAGACCCCAAACTAATGGCCACTCCATCCCTGGGGCCACAATAAAAGCTAGAGTCTCTGAGAGATCAATACATAACGGTCTGGTGGCAAAGCTGGCGGGTACTCCCCTTGCAACTGGGCCATCCAATTGGCAGAAAGTAATTGTTTTTAGCCTCCTGAGGGGTATTCCCATTTTCCCCACTAGTTCTGGGCTAATCATGGTACTCAGCTACACCCTGAGTCCAGCCAGACAGCTAATTTTACTGTCTTCCCAGCACCAGGTATAGAAAGTTCTAGGGACACTGTTATGGGGTCAATTGGTCCACTCACCAATGGGTTATTCTCATCTTCCGCCCCTTCTGTGCCATCGTAGCGCGGAGTCGGAGCTCAGCCCTCTCGGTGGTGATCCCAGAGGAGCTTTACAACTTCCTCAAATCTCATTGCAGTCTCCCTGGGATGCAGTGAGGCTCTGGGAGGTCTTCCAGCCAGTAAACAGTCCCTTTCTTGGCCGGTGTCTTGCTATGGCAATCCACGGCTTGATGTCCCTCTTTACCACATTTGAAGCAGGCGGTGCTATGAGATGGGGCAGGTGAAGCTCGTGCAGTCTCCCCTCATTTCTCGGACTGCGGTTTGAAGCTTGGTCTCACCGGGTGATGTAGCTGCTTGCGTTGATCAATCTCTACTTCCTCGACTAGCAGGCGCCAGTCATACAGCCATCCCGTGGCTCCGTGAGCCACGCAGGCATTATATAGCTCTTCATTGAATCCAACCTGGAAACAGCTTATCAGGATGTCTTCTGGCTGGCGAAGGTGACTGGCCAGCTCTCTGAATTCTTCAGTGTATTCAGTGACTGGTCTCCTTCCCTACTTCACTTTTTTTATGCATTCCTGGGCTTTCTTGTCTGCCAGCCAGTCTTCAAAATGTTTGCAGAGGGAAGCCATAAACCAGTTGAAATTCCACAATTTGGGTGCATTGCAATTGTACAGGGTCACCATCCAGTCAGCTGCTCCATCTTCCAAAGCTAGGATAACTACCCGGACCTTTTTGACATCGGTAGGCATGTTCTATAGATTTGCATGTAGGTGAACAATTGTCCCAGTTGTTTTGAATCTCCATCAAATTTCACTCCGATTGGAATCAGCTTCACCTTGGCTGGTTGGGTTGGTCTGCCTCTGGTTCCTTGAAATGGACGGCCTTGCCGCATGCTGCCTCTTGGCCTCCAGTCACTGCCATCTCTCGGACCTCTGATTCCTCCTCCTCTGATTCACCCTTCGACTCTTCCTCTGATATGGGGCTTTCAAGTGCATCTTAAATTTATCAAGAGCTTTTTTCACTTACTCCACCACCTCTTCCATTGTCCTCAATTTCACCTGCCCCAATTTCACCTGCCCCATCAGCACCGCCTGCTGCACCATTGAGTAGTCCTTGACTTACGACCAGTTGGGGGTCACGGCATTAAAAAGGTTGAGAACCACTGTCCTAGAGGCTACTGAGCTAATGAATTCCAGACTGAAAGATAAAGGCGCCATCTTAAAGCTACAAAATGAAGCCCAGATTTCAACTGATGAACTTACAACTCAAAAGGCAACAGAAGAAGAAGGAATTAACATTAAAGTGGACTTTAAAGAATACCAGCTACAACCTACTGAGAACCCTGATAGCCAAACCTTGATTTCAACTAAAAAATCTGCAATTCTGACAACAACAGAAACTGAACAAAGCAACACTAAGATGGAAGGTGCTGAAGACCTACGTACACAGCACACTGAGAATTTAGGTAACCCAGACAACCAAACAACAATTACAACATTGAATATGACTTTTTATTTAAATCAGCTGAAACCGGAAGAAGAAGAAGACCAGTCTGAGCTGACGACAAATATGCTAAGCCAAACATGGAGACTCAAATTATTAGATCAACAACATAATGACTATGAAGGGACCGGCTTCCTTGAAAAATTGATAGCTAGATCAGTGGTTCTCAACCTTTCTAATGCCGCGACCCCATAATACAGTTCCCCATGTTGTGATGACCCCCAACCACTTATACATCACCAGGTGCCAGGGGCGTGGCCAAAGAAAAGGGGGAAAAATGGCGGACAGCCTTGTTTGGCGACCCCCGTGAAATGGTCGTTCGACCCCAAATGGGGTCCCGACCCACAGGTTGAGAACCACTGAGCTAGATGGTCTCCCTTGATTCAAATGACATGTGAAGGAATGAAGGGAGATCCACCTGAGGATTTAAAGGCACTGCTATGGAAGCCTGTTTGGCACAAAAGGAAAGCCAGAGTCAGACTTAAAAAATGGGATTTCTTTATATGACCTTTAATGGAAAAGCCTAAAATCTTATTTAATGGACTAAGGAGATTTTAAAAGACATTACATTTAATATTTAAGATTTAATATTTAGGATTTAGACCTATAAGGAAACTAAAAACTAGTTATTAGAATAATAGTTTTGAATTATAATATAGAAGATGGATTGAGATGATAAAGGTTATTTTATTGGTAAGTGATGATATTAGGATGAGAAATAGAATACGACTGTGAAATAAAGTAAGAATTTATTTGAATAAATAATAAGTGTATCTTAGATATGATAACTATTTTGTAATGAACTAAGGGAACCGTGGGTTATCCGAAACTTAAATACTATGGAGGACACTAAGCTAACTGGAATACTGTAATGGAAATTAGATAAAAGTTAAAAACAGGACATGGAGACGTAAAAGTAAAAATATATGGATAAATGTTTTAACCGATTGAATTATAACTAGCAATGTATTAATTTGAATGTGATATAATAACCAAGGGAAACAGAGAGGAAATTTTTGATGATGTAACCTGACATATGTATGAAAGAGCTTGTTACTGGATTATGGATTACCCAATCACCATGTTGCTTCCTTAATACCTGGAGCTTTGTTAAATTGGAAAATTAATAAAATTTGTTTTTTTTAAAAAAAGAACGCACCCCAATGCCCCCTGCATAGCCAGAAGCCTTGCACCATCACCATTCTCCTGCTGTGCTCCCCCAGCCCCTCTTTCCCTTCCTTTGAAACAAACAACCCCCCCTCCCCCCAGCCTCCTGTTCCTTCCTTCCGAATTAAAACGAGAGAAAGCCAACTTTTTTCTTTTGTGGTCTTTACATGTTTAACCTTCAGAAGGAAGTGGGGAAGAAAACCATCGCGAGACACTCTTCTGTTTTAACTTTTTTTCCTTGTCACTTTTTGGAGTTTTCATCCTACTTTTGTGAGAGGGCAGCGTTTGGGAGGGGATGTAGCTGCCCTTCTCCTCCAAGCCCTCAGCTGAGCAAGACGCCTTCTCCCTGTCTGAGGCTTTAATTGAGGATTGGCGGGGGGGGCTGTTTGGTTTTTATTCCCCTCCCATCTGCTGGGTGATTGCAGCAGGTTTTGGTCTCTTCTGTCATGCTTTGAGGTTACCCATGAAGTATGTTTGTTTTGGGGAGGGATCCCCACTCTGGTTGCTAAGCTTGCTTAAACCCTCTTCCACCTCCTCATCGGAGCCCCCCTTTGTCTGCAACCAACCTTTGCCTCGCCTTGCCTTGCCCCACGGCAATGGCACCCTTGCCCTGCCCCCTCCCTTGCATCACTTCACCCTGCGGGACGAGCCTCCTACCCACTGCCCCACCCACCAGAGAACCCCTGGATCTTCTCCAATTCTGCCTGGCCCCCACAGGCATCCCTCCCCAGGAGCAACATTGAGGTGGCCACGCCCACCCTGGCCACACCCACCCATGTTGCCATGACTACCTTAGCCACACTCACTTGGCCACATCTACCCTGGCCGTGCCCACTCCGTGGCCACGCCCCCAGCACCCGGCGATGCATAAGTGGGTTTCAGGTTGCAGTTTGGGCACTAGGTCTCTTAAAAGGTTCGCCACCACTGATATATAAGAAAGGAAGACAGTAAAGATGTCAACGCTGTGACAAACCGAATTGAAGTCATTTTCATTTTGTTTTCGTTGTCACATTTTTAGTTAGAAGAAGGAGGGAGGGGGGTAACTCTCAGTTAGCCAAAACAATTCACAAGTATGGGAACCAAGGTCAGTGCTGATAACATTTTGGCGGGCTGGAACAGCTGGGAGGAGTGCCCACATTTCTAACAATTGGTGAATGTGATTCATGACAGCAATTTGGAGTGGGAAATGTAACTTGTAACTTTCTAACCTAGGGGAGGGGAATTTAGTCTTGGATTCACCTTTGTATGTGCTGATAACTTGTTTCCAAAATAAAATGTTCTTTAAGGAAGAAATCTTTGCCTTGAAGTTCTCTTAAATGGTTTCATCTATCGGAACCATGACATTGGATTTGGGGACCTGACAGAGAAGTAACCTGGAATTAAGGAGAAACTTCCTAACAGTGAGGACAATTAACCAGTGGAACAGCTTGCCTTCAAAAATTGTGGGTGCTCCATCTCTAGAGGTTTTTAAGAAGAGATTGGACAATCACTTGTCTGAGATGGTATAGGTTCTCCTGCTTCGGCGAGGAGCTGGACTAGAAGACCTTGAAGGCCCTTCCAGCTTCTGTTCTGTTCTGTTCCGTTCCATCCTGTCCTGTCCCGTCCCATCCCATCCCATCCCATCCTATCCTATCCTATCCTATCCTATCCTATAAGGAACTTTCAAAGGCTTTTAGCATCCAACCAGAGATAAATTCACTGGAGTGAATTTAGGTGGAAATTGCTACCAATATTGTCTCAACTTTTGTCTTTTCTTTTCTAGTATAGCCTCCAGTTTCCTCCAACCTGACAAGGATAGAATAGGTGGGATTTACAGGAAATCAATCTATAAGCAATACTCTGATTCTACGTACACGTTAGAGATATCCAAGCCTGCCTGGCTGGGATTCCTTGGGCCCATCATACGAGGTGAAGTGGGAGACACCATTACTGTGCACCTGAAAAATTTTGCCAGCCGTCCATTCACCATTCACCCCCATGGTGTCTTCTACACAAAGGATTCAGAAGGTAAATGAATTTTCTCTCCTATGAATATTTGAAAGCTTGCATGTGACAAGCCATCCTTTAGAAATCCCAAGTGGCCCTGCAATATCTGGCAAGGACCTCTGGAAATCAGATGGGGCAACCCATTCAGAACAGAACAGCTGAAAGCTTTGGACCAGCTTTAGGTATATGTATCTCTAGAACCCCAACTTCCATCACTGTTGACTGGGAATGTTGTGTGACAAATTGAGTATGTCTAAAGGATATTATGTTGGCAAAGGGTAAACTCAAAAAAGGCTAATGACAAATTTATTGTGTTTGGACCTTGTGTAGACTATCCTACAGTTAATAATATAGAATAACGTATATCAACAGATGGAAGCATTAAGCATTAGATTTCTTGTGAAACCTACCTTTGACTGGATGGTGTCATTGATCCCTTCTTTTAGGGGCCCTTTATCCTGATAGGTCCTCTGAAGATCATAAGGCAGATGATGCTGTTCCACCAGGAGGAAACCATACTTACACGTGGACGGTTCCTGAAGCCCATGGCCCAACTGCTGATGATCCAGCCTGTTTAACATGGATCTATCATTCCCATGTCAATGCACCAAAAGATATTGCCAGTGGCTTAGTTGGGCCTTTGCTGATATGTAAACAAGGTAAATTTACTCAGAAAAATGAGATTGGTTTTGTCAATCCTTTTTGAAATGACCTTGCCTCTGCTACAATAAGCTACATACCTTTCTTGAATGTTCCAGGGTTCAGACTTAATTTAATTTAAGCAAATACTTATTTCAGGGTGGCCCATTTGATTTTGGCTAGAAATTAAACTTAATAACCAAGACTCCGATGGGCAGGGTGATGATGTAACATAAATAGGCTTCTGTTTTGTACTGTATAGACAACATTGCCGGTTTTTTTCTTGAGACTTAATGAGACTTACTTTAACAATGTTAAATGTAATTTTGGGTAAAATGGGACAACTTGGCATGGCTCGCTTGCCACCACCAAGTCACCTCTGCCAAGTTGATGCAGGACAGCTAAACATGGCCAATTCACCACAGGGACAATTTGCCATGGGCAGCCAGAGGGAGAACCAGGCAGAGTGCAGAGTGGTGGGATCTGGAGGCTTCCCATTTTCATATCTCCTGCTGTCCACCTCACCAACTGCTGCCACTGCCAAATGCCTCAAACTCTAAATAGCCCAGAGCTCAGCACAGTAACAAGGGTGGTAGTGTGTGTATGAAAATGGGAAGCCCACAGCCACCACCGCCATTCTGCGCTCTGCCCACCCACTCACCCATCTGCCTGGCTCTTCCTCCGGCTCCCCACGGTAAGTTGTCCCCTGGAGAATTGGCTGTGTTGAGTTGTCCTTTGGTGAGTTGGCAGAAGTGACTTGGCAGTAGTGAGCTGGCCACGTTGAGCTGCCTGCACCAAGTTGTCAAGGGCCTCTATTCCCAAAGTTCAATTATCTTTAGCTTAAGATATACCTGCTCAACAAAGATGTTAGTTAAGGCTTCTGGTTCTGCACAGCTAGCGCACCAGCCGAGGGATCGAGACAATGCGATCCCTACGGCTGATTTCTCTCTGTTTGGCAACCCTTAATGGGCCCAAAGCCACCCTGGAGAGGTGGCAAGGAAGGAGGGAAGCCCCGCTGATCCTGGGGAGACGATTCATCCAGACGTCTGAGGAAAGCTCTCCAAAAACCGACAGAAGAAAGGCTAGTGTCATTCATGAATCTAGCCCAAGCTACATGTAATCGAAGCCAAAAAGCACTAAACTAAGCATGATTGTAAACAGTGTGACTGAACTGGGTAAGAATATTGATTTTCTCTCTTTTACCTGACTGATTTCCTGAGAAAAAAAGAAAAAAACCCAGAAATAAAAATCCTCTGAAAGTGAGGGGGTATGTGTCTTTGTTCCACCCTCCTCTAAATGGAAGTGGTGAATTAAGTTTGGGGGGGGGGGGGGAGGAATTTAAAGATGGACTGGTGCTGACATCTAGTGGTGAATGAAAATACTGCCCTAAATATACAGCTCAGAAAGAGAAACCTGTTGTTGTGACATTCAGAGTATTGATTAAACAAAGAGCAACTGAACTATTTATAAAGTGAGAATTACAAAACTTAGGAAAAATTGACCTTCCTGGATTATAAATATTTCTTAAATTGCAACTTTAAAGTGATTGGCAGAGAAAGGACTTTTGGTCATTATGGAGCATGAGAAATCTGCAGAAAGAACATACCAAGAACATACCAACAAACATACTTGGAGGAAATGTTTGTTCTGTTACAACAAATGCAAATGATATTAACTTCAAACCATGAGGAAATTAAAAATGAATTTTAAAATTTAAATGAATGCATTCTCAATTTAATGTCACAACAATCAAATGATCAGAAAACAAAAAATGAGAGAGATCATGTAAAGCAGACAATTGAACATAAGCTAGTGGAGACTCAAGTGGAAAAGGACTTACAAGAATCATTGAACATTGAAAAGATAACTCTAAAATCACAAAGTAAATTTGAGGATAAGGAAAAATTTTTGACAAAATGGATTGCTGAGTCATTGGGAGTACCACAAGAAATGGGGAGACAAGGGATGATGAGAGAAATCTTCAGTGAATATGAAGAGGTAAAATCCTTTTACAAAGTCACGATGTTATCCACAACAACATTTGCAAGATTATGGAAAGACACTTTGATGCAACGGAATATATTGATTGGGAGAGATGCTTGGCAAAAGAAGAGAGCTAAAGTGAGGATTGAGAAATTAGATGATGGGGTGTATCAGAGGGAATAGTTAAAAATTAAACGCTTGTTGGAAATGGCTGAAGAAATTGAAAGATTCTAATTTAAGAGGGATGAACTCTATAAGTAAGACAATATCTTTTTCTTTTTTTCTTTTCTTTTTCAATATGAGAACTATAAAAATGTGTGGGATGATTAACATAAATGAAATGTTTTAGATATTTAAATGTAATTGATTTTAAGAAAATTTCAATGGATAACTAAAAATGGGGAAAATGTTTTGAATAGAGTTAAAAGATTAGATGATTGGATTTATTAAATAGAACATTTAAAGATAAAACATAGGTTCAATTATGGGTAAAAAGTACAGAAAGAATTTGGAAATGTGTATATTAATTTTAAGTAGTATATTATTTTCTTTTTTCTTTTCCTTTTTTCTCTTTTCCTTTTTTTTCTTTTTCTCACGTTTTTTCTTTTTCTATGTCTTTTGTGTTTTTTTCTTACTTATTTTTTAAGATATGAAAATAGATTTAAATATTTTAAGGTAATTAATTCTGGGAAAATTTTAACCAGTAGAAATGTTTTGAACATTGTAGGGAAAATAAATTTAAATAAGAATTGTAAACAGGATTTGTGTCGAGGCAACCAAGATGACCAGATAGAAAAGAAGCATGATATTGATGAGATTATTGGTAGAAATTTTAGAAAAATCTTTATATTGAATTGTTACCTATCAAATTAATAAGAATTGTATTAATTTAGGTTGCAAAGAGAATATTATTAGAAGAAGAGAAAATCAAGCAAAGTTATAATATGGATTTTGGAATATAGAAATTAACAGTTAGTGATTACTTTGTAAATATAAATTCAGACAACACGTTGTTTACTAAATATCAAGATGTTTATATTAAAAAATCAATTTTTTTAAAAAAACAAAGATGTTAGTTAAACTGATGCTGCTCTGCCTTTCTGGTCTGGCCTCAGATTGTAGTATTGCTCCAGGTTTTTAAAAAGGTTTATAAAGATTTTTCATAATATTGTAATGTTTAAATTGTAAACAACTTGCTTGTTTTTAGTGAGGTATATGGCACTTTGCAATTCTATGCAATGAGTATTGCAAGATAGAAATATTGTAAATGTAGACTTTGATTTACAAGTCATGAGAGTTTCATACAGCATAAACAATTCTCTGCCTTAATGTGATGTGTGGACATAGATTCAAGATGGCAGCAATAACAGTATGGTTGATGACCCTCCCCCCCTTTTTATGGGCATTGCATGCAGTGAATCCCAGGTTAGCAGGTCATCCTGGAAGAGAAGTTGAAGCGGGTGAAAACTTTATAAGTTTCCCACCCTGTTGGTGTTCTTCATTCACTCACGTTCTTTCCTGGTCCAGGAACTCTGAAAATGCTACCTTCAAAACGCAATGATGTGGACCTTGATTTCTTCCTGATGTTTAGTGTGGTAGATGAGAATGAAAGTTGGCACCTGGATGAAAACATTGCTTCCTTCTGCACGGAGCCAGACTCAGTTGACAAGGAAGAGGAACAGTTCAAAGAAAGCAACAGGATGCATGGTGAGCGCCCTCCTCTTTGCCTCCTGCTTTGATTGGGGCTAATGTTTTGCTTAATGAATAAGAAGGTCCCCAAAGAAGCAGACAAAAGTTCAAATGTTACTGTCCAGACTTTGTTAAATACAGGGGAATTATTGTTCCTGGGGAAAATATCTTGTCTAGCATATAAGAATATTTCAATCTTACCTAAGTATAAAGTGATCTAAGAGGTTGATGAAAATATTACTAAGTTTGTGAGAAGGAATCAGTATGTTGAAAATGAATATTGCATCATCCGATACACCAGTGGTTCTCAACCTTTTTAATGCCGCGACCCCCAACTGGTCGTAAATCGAGGACTACGCAACCGGTTGTAAGTAGAGGATTACCCAAGCGTAAGTAGAGGACTTTCCCTGCCCGGGAGCACTGCACATGCGTGGTGCCGCCCCTTGCCCCGCCCGAGGCATAGCTGGCAAGCGGCAGAGACGGCGCAGGCCGACCACCGACTGGGCCACCAGCTGGCCCAGCCCAAGGGAGGTAAGGCACTCGCTGGGCCCCACGCACGCCAGCAACTCTTCCTGCGCCTGATATGTAAACAAAAAAAGAGCCGAATGGAAAAATAAACAGCTAAATGTTTGATAAGTTCATTGTTTGGCTTCATTGCAGCTTTTGAAACTTTGGAGAGCCTGTGTGAATTGGAGGAGGTCTTCATAGAAACTATGTTCACAATGTATTACTATCATGAATATAAAATGTCATAAAAATAAAACCTAAATAACACATATATTTTGAATAGAGAATTGAAATATTCTTCACTGGCTTTAGTTTTTAAGGAATATACAATATATTTCATAAATCCCAACCTTCAAATGATGGGGGAGATGTGTGAATGAGCGGAGCAGAAAGAGCTTGGAGGAGATGGGAGAAGGCTGAATGAGCGGAGCAGAAAGAGGAAGATGGGGGAGACGTGTGAATGAGCGGAGCAGAAAGAGCTTGGAGTACATGGGAGACGTGTGAATGAGCGGAGTAAAAAGAGCTTGGAGGAGATGGGGGAGAAGGCTGAATGAGCAGACCAGAAAGAGCTTGGAGGAGATGGGGGGGAGACATGTGAATGAGCGGAGCAGAAAGAGCTTGGAGGAGATGGGGAGAAAGCTGAATGAGCTGAGTAGAAAGAGTAAGATGGGGGAGATATGTAAATGAGCAGAGCTGAAAGAGTTTGGAGGAGATGAGGGAGACTTGTCAATGATCTGAGCACAAAAAACTTGGAGGAGAAGGGGGAGAAATGTGAATGAGCAGAGCAGAAAGAGCTTGGAGGAGATGGGGAGAAGGATGAATGAGCAGGGCAGAAAAAGCTTGGAGGAGATGAGGGAGACATTTGAGTGAATGGAGCAGAAAGAGCTTGGAGGAGATGGGGAGATGGAGATGGCTGAATGAGCTGAGTAGAAAGAGTAAGATTGAGTGAATGATGGCTGAATGAGCTGAGATAGCTGAATGAGCTGAGTAGAAAGAGTAAGATGGGGAGACATGTAAATGAGCAGAGCAGAAAGAGTTTGGAGGAGATGAGGGAGACTTGTCAATGATCTGAGCATAAAAAACTTGGAGGAGAAGGGGGAGACATGTGAATGAGCGGAGCAGAAAGAGCTTGGAGGAGATGGGGAGAAGGCTGAATGAGCAGAGCAGAAAGAGCTTGGAGGAGATGAGGAGAAGGCTGAATGAGTGAAGCAGAAAGAGCTTGGAGGAGCTGAGGGAGACATGTGAATGAACGGAGCAGAAAGAGCTTGGAGGAGATGGGGAGAAGGATGAATGAGCAGGGCAGAAAGAGCTTGGAGGAGCTGAGGGAGACATGTGAATGAACGGAGCAGAAAGAGCTTGGAGGAGATGGAGACGTGTGAATGAACGGAGCAGAAAGAGCTTGGAGGAGATGGAGACGTGAATGAGCAGAGCAGAAAGAGCTTGGAGGAGATGGGGAGAAGGCTGAATGAGCTGAGTGGAAAGAGTAAGACGGGGAGACATAAAAATTAGCGGAGCAGAAAGAGTTTGGAGGAGATGAGGGCGACTTCTCAATGATCTGAGCACAAAAAACTTGGAGGGGAAGGGGAAGAAGTGTGAATTGAGCGGAGCAGAAAGAGCTTGGAGGAGATGGGGGAGAAGGATGAATGAGCAGGGCAGAAAGAGCTTGGAGGAGATAGGAGAGAAGGCTGAATGACGGGGCAGAAAGAGCTTGGAGGAAATGGAGACATGTGAATGAGCGGAGCAGAAAGAGCTTGGAAGAGATGGAGGAGAAGGCTGAATGAGCAGAGCAGAAAGCTTGGAGGAGATGGGGGAGACATGTGAATGAGCGGAGCAGAAAGAGCTTGGAGGAGATGAGGGAGAAGGCGGAATGAGCGGAGCAGAAAGAGCTTGGAGGAAATGGAGACGTGTGAATGAGCAGAGCAGAAAGAGCTTGGAGGAGATGGGAGCAGGCTGAATGAGCAGAACAGAAAGAGCTTGGAGGAGATGGAGAAGGCTGAATGAGTGGAGCAAAAAGAGCTTGGAGGAGATGGGGGGAAGGCTGAATGAGCGGGGCAGAAAGAGCTTGGAGGAGATGGAGACGTGTGAATGAGCGGAGCAGAAAGCTTGGAGGAGATGGAGAAGGCTGAATGAGCGGAGCAGAAAGAGCTTGGAAGAGATGGAGACATCTGAATGAGCGGAGAAGAAAGCTTGGAGGAGATGGGAGAAGGCTGAATGAGCAGAGCAGAAAGAGCTTGGAGGAGATGGGGAGAAGGCTGAATGAGCGGGGCAAAAAGAGCTTGGAGGAGATGGAGACGTGTGAATGAGCGGAGCAGAAAGAGCTTGGAGGAGATGGGGGAGAAGTGTGAATTGAGCAGAGCAGAAAGAGCTTGGAGGAGATGGGTGAGAAGGATGAATGAGCAGGGCAGAAAAAGCTTGGAGGAGATGGGGAGAAGGATGAATGATTGGAGCAGAAAGAGCTTAGAGGAGATGGGCAGAAGGCTGAATGAGCAGAGCAGAAGGAGCTTGGAGGAAATGGGGGAGAAGGCTGAATGAGCGGAGCAGAAAGAGCTTGGAGGAGATAGGGGAGAAGGCTGAATGAGTGGGGCAGAAAGAACTTGGAGGAGATGGGGAGAAGGCTGAATGAGTGGGGCAGAAAGAACTTGGAGGAGATGGGGAGAAGGCTGAATGAGCGGAGCAGAAAGAGCTTGGATGAGATGGGTGAGAAGGATGAATGAGCAGGGCAGAAAAAGCTTGGAGGAGATGGGGAGAAGGATGAATGATTGGAGCAGAAAGAGCTTGGAGGAGATGGGGGAGAAGGCTGAATGAGCAGAGCAGAAGGAGCTTGGAGGAGATGGGGGAGAAGGATGAATGAGCAGGGCAGAAAGAGCTTGGAGGAGATGGAGAAGGCTGAATGAGCAGAGCAGAAGGATCTTGGAGGAGATGGGGGAGAAGGCTGAATGAGCGGAGCAGAAAGAGCTTGGAGGAGATGGAGACGTGTGAATGAACGGAGCAGAAAGAGCTTGGAGGAGATGGAGACGTGAATGAGCAGAGCAGAAAGAGCTTGGAGGAGATGGAGGAGAAGGCTGAATGAGCAGAGCAGAAAGCTTGGAGGAGATGGGGGAGACATGTGAATGAGTGGAGCAGAAAGAGCTTGGAGGAAATGGAGACGTGTGAATGAGCAGAGCAGAAAGAGCTTGGAGGAAATGGAGACGTGTGAATGAGCAGAGCAGAAAGAGCTTGGAGGAGATGGGAGCAGGCTGAATGAGCAGGGCAGAAAGAGCTTGGAGGAGATGGAGATGTGTGAATGAGCGGAGCAGAAAGCTTGGAGGAGATGGGAGAAGGCTGAATGAGCGGAGCAGAAAGAGCTTGGAGGAGATGGGGGAGAAGGCTGAATGAGCGGAGCAGAAAGAGCTTGGAGGAGATGGAGAAGGCTGAATGAGCGGCGCACAAAGAGCTTGGAGGAGATGGGGGAGAAGGCTGAATGAGCGGAGCAGAAAGAGCTTGGAAGAGATGGAGACGTCTGAATGAGCGGAGAAGAAAGCTTGGAGGAGATGGGAGAAGGCTGAATGAGCAGAGCAGAAAGAGCTTGGAGGAGATGGGGAGAAGGCTGAATGAGCGGGGCAAAAAGAGCTTGGAGGAGATGAAGACGTGTGAATGAGCGGAGCAGAAAGAGCTTGGATGAGATGGGGGAGAAGTGTGAATTGAGCGGAGCAGAAAGAGCTTGGAGGAGATGGGTGAGAAGGATGAATGAGCAGGGCAGAAAAAGCTTGGAGGAGATGGGGATGAATGATTGGAGCAGAAAGAGCTTAGAGGAGATGGGGAGAAGGCTGAATGAGCAGAGCAGAAGGAGCTTGGAGGAGATGGGGGAGAAGGCTGAATGAGCGGAGCAGAAAGAGCTTGGAGGAGATAGGGGAGAAGGCTGAATGAGTGGGGCAGAAAGAACTTGGAGGAGATGGGGAGAAGGCTGAATGAGCAGGGCAGAAAAAGCTTGGAGGAGATGGGGAGAAGGCTGAATGAGTGGGGCAGAAAGAGCTTGGAGGAGATGGGTGAGAAGGATGAATGAGCAGGGCAGAAAAAGCTTGGAGGAGATGGGGAGAAGGATGAATGATTGGAGCAGAAAGAGCTTGGAGGAGATGGGGGAGAAGGCTGAATGAGCAGAGCAGAAGGAGCTTGGAGGAGATGGGGGAGAAGGCTGAAAGAGTGGGGCAGAAAGAACTTGGAGGAGATGGGGAGAAGGCTGAATGAGTGGGGCAGAAAGAACTTGGAGGAGAAAGGGGAGAAGTGTGAATGAGCGGAGCAGAAAGAACTTGGAAGAGATGGGGAGAATGATGAATGAGCAGGCAGAAAGAGCTTGGAGGAGATGAGGGAGACATGTAAATTAACGGAGCAGAAAGAGCTTGTAGGAGATGGAGAGAAGGCTGAATGAGCTGAGTAGAAAGAGTAAGATGGGGAGACATGTAAATGAGTGGAGCAGAAAGAGTTTGGAGGAGATGAGGGAGACTTGTCAATGATCTGAGCACAAAAAACTTGGA